TCCTATTCTTTTTATGCTCAGCTACTAAGATTTCCCTTCAGTGGTAAAATTCCATATAAATATTCAATACTTAAACGGGCACAGTAAAGACATTAAATATACATATATGTACTGTATACAGTACACTTTACATACAGTAATGTAAAGTGTACTGTAATACAGTAACATGTAATACAGTAATACAGTTACATGTTTATGTTCCTAAATCAATATATTTTCAAAGCATGTGAAAGGCATGGTGAATCAGAGATTCTCAAAAATTACTGTACTTTGCATGATTGGAAACAAATGCGATTGGATCAACAAAATGCTGTGGTGTTACTTTTACAAAGACGGTCAATGAAAAAAACAATGTGGACCAGGGCAATACTTTGAGTTTACAGCTTGTCCAAGGTCATTCATTATAAATACCATTAGTAATATCTTCGGTAAAGACTTTGATGGCGACAGCTCAAACATGAAAGGTTGAGCTTTATTAGCTCCAGCTTGCAGAAATTCCGAATACTATTATTTTACTTGCAGTACCACGTGGTATCATGTGGCACTATGCAAGAATTTACAGTATTAATACGGTAACTTGCGGTAGACTGCGTCAAGCACACCACAAAATAATGCAGTATCGCTGGCTTGTTTTGAATGGCTGCATCTGTATGTTATTTGCAATATGGCTTAATATGGTTTGAGCATTCTGAATGGCTGGGTCTGTAATTATTGGCTTAATTAGAGCTAGTTCCCCAGCTCTTTGCAGCTGCTGACTTAAAAGAGACCTATAAAACTTGCAGGATACATAAAAATATGACATTTAAAAAAATGCAAATGATATTTTATGTTATGTTTTTTGTTATATAGAAATGTTGTTCCCACAGGGCTGGGCATTGGCCATGATTAGAACCCAGGTATTTAGAGTGACAGGCAAAAATTCTTCCATTGAATCACTAATGCCTCACACTAATGAGGTTTCAGTACACGCACACAAGTCATTCTTTGAATCATTTAAAACTACTGACTTCTTTTTTTGTTTTTGTTTTTTTCTTTACTTGGTACTTTTCAATGTGTATTTATTTGATTTACATAAAAAGTTTTTTTTAGACCGGAAATTGCCTTTTTAACCTTTTGAGATGCATGGCTTGAATGATAGATTGAAACTTTTAATGTTCTTTGAATTTACTAGTTATTTAAAACGGATGCAATGTTAAACTGCTTAAATTGTCTTCAGTTTAAAAAAAAATATTGACAGAGCTATGACACATTTTGACATGCTAGCAAAAATCTTTTTATGAAAATGTAATTGTTAGCTAATGTAGTTCAGGTGGGTAGCTGCGTCAGCATGCGTAGGCTGCAAAGGAACAAGTAATAGGTTTATTCCATGCTGAAAAGAGAAGAAAGAAACCCAAGGTTTCGGCTGTGAAGCCTTCTTAGGGTGTAAGCCTTCTTCTGGATGTTATCCTCTCATCCAGTAATTCTGTCTCCAGACTGTGTTAGTAACAGTCAAATTACTTGTACTGTGTATAGTCATATGATTATTGGAAACATAAGACTTGGCAAAACATCTCAAAGAAACAGAAACTATCTGGCTACGTCAGGGTTTGAAGCAGTCTTTATTAACTTTACACAAGTTTAATTTATTTTGTTAATTTGTCCCAATTCTTTTGCTTTTGTGTGAACACAAACACATTTTAAATCTTATATGGTTTAATATGCTAATAGGCCCACCCTGGTTCTGGAGTGCCATAATCCAGTAGGTCTATTGGTCATTCTTAAATCTTCAATTTATGAAGACTTTGGACCTGTGAGTTTTGATCAATTTAGTAGATTAATTAATTGCTTATTAATTGCTTAAAAGAAATCAGAAATAGTCAGGAACTTTGGTTTTTGAGAGCTACAGAGTTTTAAGATTTTAATTTCAAATGATCTCTAAACTACTTAAATGAAGAAATCATCTCCTTAACTGGTCAAAATATATTTTTTTACATATTTGCAAAGAGGCTGACTGATACGACCTGCTGGTTTGTGGAAAACTGGGTCCAGGATTGAATGCCCCTGCCCTAGTATTACTGTACATGCATTCTGGTTAGTACATTCCCACTTCTCAGTTATTTTGTTAAATAAATAGAAGAACAGTACGTATCTTAAAGCCAATGTGCACATTGATAAGACCCCTGATAATGTGCTAGCTTCTTGTTTTATTTTTAACTTTAAAAATATATATTTTTGCTTCCCCTGTCAGGCATAACATACCATGCTGGGGCATAAAAAAGCAAAGATATTTGGATTACTTAATTCCGGGTTTCCTTTATTTTTTGCGGTATCTGGTATTTTTTGTACCATAGTAATCATAGTGGCTCTCTGAAGGCACCAGTTCTGTAGGGTTTGGGCATTTACTGAGACAATTATTAATTGTAGCAGTAAATCACAAAATTGATTCTTTTGATGGCTTTAGAATCCAACCATGCAACATAACTCAAACAACGCACACACACAGGTACTAATACACGAGGATACATTTATTAATACATAGAATATGCATATAAAACTAACAGATCTTATCGAGAGGGTTATCAGAATACAAAAGGTATATATTCAGTCAGTTACAAAGTGTTACACATATCAAGAGGACATACGTTCAGTATATCATTCATTTATACCGTTTCGTAATTGAACTTGGTTACAACTTCTACATTAGATACTCAAAACAAGTACATAACTCTTAGGAATTAAATTGATATCAACTGGTTGGGATAACAATTGAATTCTCGAGCTGTAATGCATTGAAGTTGAATACTCATCCAATCTTTGGGGATTCAGATCTCCTGCGGGCACAAAGAAACAGTTGCAGGCTGTTGCTGTCCAATCCGCGCTCTCTGGCTCCGTGCCAGGCTGTGCTGTGCGGCTTGCGACGGTGTGCTGCTGATGCTCACTGTTGGCTTTAACTAGCAAAGTTTGTGCACAGGAGAAAAGATGACTGTGGGTCCCAGCAAGTCAGGAAGAGGACCGGTTCGTTCCTGATGAAGAGCTAGTTCTGAATAGTGATTCAACTTTCCACAGTTCCGACCTGTTCACGAGGCCTGCTGCTGGTGCTAACCTCGGGTGGATCCTCTGGTTATTCTCTGGCAACCTCCGCTCTAGACTCTTAGAACAGAGGAAAGTTCTGGCACTCGGACACACTGGCCGTTCCGTGGTTGTCCGGGCTGAGTCTCAGGATGGTCAGGAGGCACGCTGCGAGAATGTCCTGCCCTTGGGAGCCTTCTGCTCCTGGGCCGTCCTGCCCTGGAATTCTCCTTTGAATTCCCTTTAGGAAAGTCCACAGAATCTCTGAATCTTACTGAATCTTACTGAATCTCTCAGGCTCTCTATGTTGCCTGTTTTTACCTGGAGGAACTTCAGCTCATTGATTGGCTGAAAGTTCCATGGGCATCAGAGTCCCACGTGGGTTACTTGGCCCTACCAGTCCCTGATTGGTTGATCAAGGTGAGATATGAGTCACTTACTCCTGACACTTAGGAATGCAGTCCAGATGTCCAACTGGCACTCCCTAGACAGATAGGCGCCAATGGATGACCATTGATCATGATAGCCAGGCTTAGCTAAGTGCATCCCCCTTTGGGAGCTGTCCTTATCAAAAGAACCCTAAATCACCCTGCATGAATAGTCTCTCTGTGGCTGCACCACAGAGATGAACAGAGAAATGGGGCCTCATTTGGGAAGCTCAGAAACACTTAATTCTGCCTTATTATTAAGCCTCGCCGCTACAACTGTGTGTTAGCAAAATGAGAGGTAAACTGTGTGCATGATTAAAAAATAATCAGTGTGTGCAGAGATTCTGTGTAATGGTTACAGTGCATTTATAATATAGTGATGTTAATGGAAATATACTTTATATTATCCTCAACAACCTACCACAACCATCAAACAGAATGCACTTGAGATCCACAATCAACCACTGTGCAGTCAATTATTAAATAAAAGCTTCTGTCCTTTAATTACAGATATTGTATAAATAATGTTTTCTCTTAACCCTAGATATGTAGATGCTATAATGTTTTTAAACATTTGTAAGAGCTGGCACTTTTACCTCTTAATGCATTTTTCCAGATGAGAAGCCAGATTGCTCCAAGGCACGCTGTGAGGTACAGTTCTCTCCACGCTGCTCTGAGGACTCCATTCTGATTGAAGGTTATGCCCCACCTGGGGAGTGCTGTCCCCTACCTAGTCGCTGTGTCTGTAACCCTGCTGGCTGTCTGCGAAAAGTGTGTCAGCCTGGCTACCTCAACATCCTTGTGTCCAAGGCATCTGGTAAACCTGGAGAGTGCTGCGATCTTTATGAATGCAAGCCAGGTGAGTTTCCTTGCTGCTGCTACACAAATTTAAAGAGCACTGTCAAATTCAACTGCAGGACTAAAAGCTATGGAAGCCCGTTTATGCCAGGGGGTAAAAAAAAAATGTGCTATGGTATCTCGCAATTGCGACTTTGTATCTCAAAATTTTGACTTTATATCTCACAATTGCGACTTTATATCTCAAAATTAGGAATTATAAAAGCTGAAACTTATACTTTTTACATATTTACATTGTATGTCTTGCCTTTTGATTCTTTAAATTTCTAATAGAATTTAAGTGAAAAAGAAATTGTACTTTAAAAGCATTAATAGAGGGAGCAGTATTAGATCATTTACTTTAGTAGATGAAGTATTTCTCCAACATTATTAACAGATTGACAATAAGAACATATCCTTTATCCAAATCAGATCTAAATAGAAACATATAAAATATCAAAATCTTTAAATTTAACATTTACCTTTAAATGTTTAACAATGTTTTGGAAATCTATCAAAAACAATTTTAGTACAATTCCTTTTTTACTTTAGCTCAGCTGGCAAGACCTGGGTTTGAGCCAATGCAGTGAGACACGAACTTGGGTGGGAGCAGCGAGGGAAGAAGCCCTAGAGCCCGAATCTGTTACAATAACAATAAGACAAACAATGAAATGTGGGCATTTCGAAGTCACAAATGTATGATATAAAGTTTTAATTCTGAGATTTTAAGTCGTAATTCTGAGATTTTAAGTCGTAATTCTGAGTTTTAAAATCGGAATTCTGAGTTTTTAAGTTGCAATTTTGAGTTTCTAAGTCACAATTCTAAGATATAAAGTCTCAATTGCGAGATATAAAGTCGGAATTCTGAGATACAAAGTCGCAATAGTACCATAGTGCCCTTTTTTACTCTCTGGCGGAAACGGGCTTCCATAAAAAGCAGTCTAAAAGGTCAATAATTTTTATTTATGTTAGCTATTGCTCTGTTTTACAGGTATTACTGACAACAGTCCTTAAAATAAACATAAAAATGTCAGAAGTTTGTATGTCTGAGCATATGATGTAATAATTAAATAAGTGTAAGTGTAAATTAGAACGTAAACTGCAAGAGCTTGTGTAACAGCCTTGAGGTGAAATAACGCATTCAGAAATTAGATAGCTCAGCTTTTGGTACAATGGAGGTAGCATAGTACCATAGGAGGTACATCATTATCACATCAATTTCAATAGCCAATTATCTAATTCAGGGTCACTATGGGTCAGAGTCTGTCCCTAGAGGCATTGGGCACAACGCAATATACACCCTGAACAGGATGCCAGTCCATCAGAGGACACAAAAAGACTCAAACATACCACACGCTCACATCAGGTCCAATTTTACAGAAGCCAATTAATCTACTGGTATATTGTTGGACTGTGCAAGGGAAATAGAGCAACAAGAGTAAACCCACATGATCCCATTGAAAACATGCAAACTCCACACAGCCCCCAACATTTAAACATAGGGTCCCAGAGCTGTAAGGCAGCAATGCTGATCACTGTGCTCCCCATATATACAGATGCAGCCATTCAAAATGCACTGTACAACCCCATACAGCGCAGAATTATCCACAGTTCACCACGATGTACTGTGGTACGTGATTTAGCTGGCCAAATTGACTGACAGAGTCACTCGTGGTGCATTGGTTGTTAGTGAAATGATTTAATCATTTAATCTCTTTACTGTGCATGTTTTAATCCACTTAGTATTGAATATTTATATGGAATTTTACAACTAAAGGGAAATTTTAGTAGCTGAGCATAAAAAGAAGAGGAGCATAAAGCATCTGAATGTCATAAATGATATTAATTTAGGAACATAAACACATTATGTAAACTGTATATGGCTGGTATTGGTTGTTTAAATAAAAAATACACACCAGTATTCCAGTTTCTTCCTAAACATTTTAAGCATTAAAGTCTTTCATTCGGTTACATACTGTGGTTATTTTGGAAAAGTTTTTACGTGCTCCTTCTAACTATATTAAGTTTACATACTTTGTGAAAAGTTATAATGTTTTAACCTTTTCTGCGAATACTTATGCTCATTATCGCAGTAAAAAATTGATACTTTTGATTAATAGGGATTAATCAATTAATATAAATAGTATTGATTAAAAGGGAATATAATATGGAATCGCATATCTAAAGAAATTGTAGATTCTTTGTACATGTGCTGTAGCAAAAAATTATCACCGTAGTACACTTTCTTTGGATATGTGTGCTTCAGTTTCACTCCTTTCCACGTAATTACATCTGTGACGTGATGGCTTTAAATATTATGGACATTATACTGACATTTTTGATATTTCTAAATATCACAACATGTTCGAAGCTAAGTGATTTATTTATAAAACGAAAAATTTCAAACTACTACTGTACTGCCACTACAGTATAGCTCACGGGAAATACATTTGTCCTGCATCAAAGTTTAACTCGTTCAGAGCACCCTACATTACAAACTCCAAGCGTTTAATTTTAAGCTGAAGACCCTCACACCCGAAGGAGGCTTCACAGCTGAAACGTTGTGTTTTCTCTCTTCTATTTTCAGCATAGAATAAACCTATTACTTGTTCCTTAGCAATGACAACATTGCATGCTACTGAAAATTCCTTGCCATCCCCCAGAATTGTTCTGTTCTATTCTACAGATGCAGCCATTCAAAATGCGTGGGCGATACCGCATTATTTTCCGGTACGCTGCACGCAGTCTACCGCGAGTTACCGGTAGCAAAATAATAGTATCCGGAATTTCCTCAAGGTGGAGCTAATAAAGTTCAACCTCTCATGTTTGAGCTGTCGCCATTAAAGTCTTTAACGAAGATATTACTAATAGTATTAATAATGAATGACCTTGGACAAGCTGTAAGTGTAAACTCAAAGTATTGCCCTGGTCCACATTCCTTTTTTCATTGACC